TTTATGGCGTCGGAATGTTTCCCGGCCGACAGCATTAACAGACTGGTGAAAATTAAGCTTACCAGGTCTTTCAAGTCAGTACGAGAGTACGACGTTAATACTGCAAAGACGTTCTGATTTGGTGAATTTGGACTGCCTTCTCAGAGAGATTTTGCTTAGTTTTTCAGTGCGCTCCTTGTCGGCTATGCGAATCTCGCAAACTGTTTTACTCCTTGCTGACGATAGTCCTTTGAGCAACGTCATCTGCGTCATCCGAAGATACCCCGAGCACGCACGAAATGGGCCGAATTTCCGCAGAAGTGTTTTCGGATGACGATGAATCTAGTTTGTTGTAGCGTGGCAGTTGTCGCGTCATGATGTCGTCATGTCTCTTCGCACTTGTTTGTCTTTTTTTTCTGCGGTGCATGGTTGAGATGTTGGTGAATGCTGAACAAGAAATGGACTCTGCGAGAGACTGTAAGTACAAATTTAGTATTAATTTGGTAAAGAAAAAGCCTGAATATTGAACAAATCCCGTGAATTAGCCTTTAGGCATTCAGTTTATCTTGCTGTTGAACATGCCTAAGAACTCCGGCATAAGTGGTTGTCATCTCGTTCACTTCGGATTGTTTCTGTTTGTATGTCTTGTAATCTTCGTCTGCTGCTAAGAAGACTAGAGAAAACTTCAATAATAAGAAACCAAAGCTAAAAAAAGTCAGATCTAATTTTATAGCTCGAGTATAATTATTTTTGGCACCTACGGTCATATTTTTTTCACTGTACTGGTAAAGTTACTTATTTTTGCTGCATAGTTTGACTGTTGTTTGAAAGGCAATCAAACGGATATTACAATCACTTTTGGAGACAAAATAAAATATCCGTAAATCAAATGCCAAAATCAGATTTGGATTTCGCTTTAAAAAAATGAACATGCCGCGTGTGTCAATGCAAAGTTGTATAAACAACTCAATATAAGCAGTCTGTGAATGTGCGTTTAGGTCCACAAAACTAATTTTTCTTTTGGACATTTCATCCAAGCAAAGACTTAAGGCTTACATTGCTTGTCTACGAGTGTACTACAAATTGCTTTGCTACAGTAAGCCTCTGAGAGGCGATTCTGGTAAATTTATAGGACGCTAAAATGCAAATAATTCTAAGCTTAAACAATCTGGCTGGGTCCGACTTTTGAATTACAAAATGTTCACGTTTGCCGGCTCTACTTTCAATGAACATGGTTTTTGAAATGATTTTGTACTATTTTATGATTAAATTATGATTCGGTTATAAAGCTTTTAAAACGGACGAAAACTAAGCTAATAAACATGTTCAATGTAAAAAACTAAGATTTAGTCGCTTTTTCAACTTTGCTTTGTGGGCCGAAAAATTTACCTTTACGCAAAAACAAAAGCAAACAATGAGGCTTTTATTCGACATATTTTCTGAGAATTTTATCTGATCAATTTAATGTCACTAGCATTATTTTCGTATAGGAATTTTCCTAATTATGTGAGCTTTTAATTTAATAATTTTGATGCTCTATAAACTTCTCATTTGATAGCCTCACTTTTTTATACACCGATTGAGAAACAAATTCGCACTCGTTAAATCCTGTTTTATGACCTATTTATTAGAACACTAGGTAACATACGAAATGGTGTAACCGGACAGGCTTTAACCTTTGGTCCTAATTTATTTTTTCTTCGCAACCCCTAATCAGTTGACGGGCCGTGAGAGAATATCGCCACAAAAAGATGGGAAAAAGTTTTCGCTGAGTTTCCTTCACATATTCCGGCTTTATATGGGTCTACACCTTACCTGTTTAAAAATGAAACTGTTGTTCTATTAAGTGTCAGTCAAACTCGGTATAATCTTGACTTGCAAATCCAAATGCAAAGGTTTATTTCGCAGTAGAAAAGCGTGTAAACATCATCGAACAACGCAATGTAAATTAGCTAATGTGAAACCACGTTTCTTTCACTTTATTTACCATGCATTTATCTCAATTGCACACTCTTGTGAAATTAGCCTCAGACAATTAGTTGCGACCTTTAACAGACTCAACAAGCCAGTATGAAAATATGTTAAGAGAAGCTGAGTCTACATGTTTTATTTCTTTTTTTTCATATTGCCCTTGCATGTGTTAACATTCCATTTCTTTTTTGTTACAGGTAACTTCCAGATATGACGAGGAGATAATTACTTTTCTAGAGAGCAATTCTTTGATACTGTCAGTTACTACTGACTTACTTTGAGTTAAAAACAAAGAACACAGACACTGGTAATGACACAAAAACATTAATCCCTGGCAAGCCTACAAAACAAGAAAGAGGAACTCAGACTTTCTAACAGCTTTTCTAACGTAGGGAAAATTGCGTTAGAGAGATTTGTAATTGCAACGTTATATTCAAGCACATTGCATTGTCAAACATCATAATTTACTGAATAATGAACAATGATTTTGGGGCTTAGCTCAGTTTGTAATGAACTTTGAAAGATATTCTATAACCTTGTATTTTTAAAAGCTTTCATGGAACATAGATGCATTTTATTATACAATGAAAATAGTCTCTGTCTCTCTTTTTACTGATTTCAGTCAATTCCATTTTATTCGCAATGTGAAATGGGAATCCTATTAAAGACTCATTAAAAGGGGTGAGGAGTTTTTACAATCCCCCAACGGGTCATCTCCACGATGACGCTGTTTTATTACTACGGACGAATCCCTCAGGGTTTTACTTGCTTGTGAAAATTAGAGCTTTTGTTATTTAAAGTTCTCTGGGACAACCAAATCTATGAAAACGAAAGGAATAGCAATGACGTCATCGTGTAACCGTACATCAAAAGATAAGCACTGTGATCTGTTTAGTTTTTTTTTTGTTTTTAGCCAGGCTTAAAATATCTGTAGATTCAAGGAATTATAACCTGTGCGTTGAGAGCATGCCAGAGACCAATTTTGGCATGCCCGGCATGACCCAGATTATGGCACGCCCGGCATTCCAGAGAATTTAGCATGCCGGGCATGTCAGAAAATTTGGCATGCCCGGCATGCCGGAGATTTTGCTGGGTATGAATTACTTGTTACTAGAACCTAGGCTTCTCGCGGCCTGGGTGAGAAGGTCACAGAACCTCAAATTATGCTTACAGGGCATGCGAAATTCTGTTGCATGCCAATTTCAATCTAAAACCACTCTGGGGCCACCCCTCTATTACCAGTGAGCAAATCATTGACGATAGGCACGCGAAAAATCCTTGCATGCTAACCAACAATGAAAACATAGCAGAAATGTCCTCAATTGCTGAGTCATGCCCTAGGGGAGGCTTTAAAATACAGAATTTCCTGACATGGATGAGGGAATTTTCCGTAAACAGCATGTGATCATGCCGGCTAGGACGTATTGCCTCCGTATTGCCCCTTTTTACAGCTAGCTAGGCTCATTTTTAGGTTCCATGGCCTGAAATGACGAAAAATTCATGCCCTAAATGTAAAAAGTCCTAAAACGTCCTCGAAATTTTAGTTTCCAAGCCGTTTCTAACAATAAGTCCTGAAAAATTTTGAAACCAATCGAAAGCTAATGGCTAATCGAAGAAATACTCGACTCTCAGAACGTTGTATCTAAAACTTGTTTCTTCAGTGGCAGAGGACGCAAACAAAACCTGCCAAGTTCATTTGACATTCGAGGTTGTGGGCCCAGCGTGTCAAAACATTGCAGAAAACCATCACATTCGCGGACAAAAGAAAATCGCTTTTAGTTATTCAGATCCAGGAGGCACTTTGGAGAAAATTAAACAACGTAAAACCTTGTTTAGCTGCAACAAAGAACGTTAATTTTGGATCAGAGGGCCAATCCTGCCGACCAGAAACAAAACCCACAGAAAATCAATATGCGTGTCATGACCTCTCAGTGTGATACAAGCGGCAAAAATCACATTTGTTAAATCAAAACTTAGAACCCTCCAGGAGGAAAAAACGTATTGGAACAAGCAGCATCATTTTAAGCATTTTAGTTAATTCTTTGACTTTCGTCTGTTTCTTTTCATGATTAAGCGGACTTCTTCTCACGGCTTTCTCACGAGGGAAACAGAATTTGAGTCCTCTTCGGACAAATCATCGCTTTTGCTAAGGTTGCGAGTAGGAACGCTAACTTCAATTTCTTGAACTGAAATGTGCTCATCAGGCTCGAAAAGGGTCACGAAAAGGGTCACGTTCAATATTCAACAGTCGATCGCCATCACAATATTCTGCTTTGTTTGCTTTAAGGCAGTCACGTGTGGACTTGATGATGTTTCAAACAATCGATTAAAATGAGCGGACGCCCCAGGAATTAGACTTCCGTTTAATTACAACCTCTAAAAATAACTTTAGTGAAATTCACATATCCCGGCCAACGCCCTAAGATTCCCTCTCTGTCCCATTATGGCTCTTGTCAAAACTAAGAGCCATAATAGGACAGAGAGGGAGTCTAAGGGCGTTGGCCGGAATATCTTAATTTCAAAAAAGTTATTCTTAGAACTATACGGACCACGCGGAAACAGTTTCCGGTAAACTGGTTGACTTCCGGAAGACTCGCTTTCACGATTCAGCGCGCCAAAGCGAGGGGGCGTCAACAAATAAAAACAAATGGCGGCAGAAGTGGAGCGGACGATGTGGAGGGACTTTGAGTTGATAAATTGGCCTTCTTCAGCGAAGAACCTACCCTAGAAACTACACAAAAGGGTCCTTTACAAGCAACGGTAGAAATCGGTTAAAGCGACCGCGTGCTACCATCGTTTTTGTTTGAACAGCGGGAAAGAGGACAAGTAGCATTGCGGCCCGGTTAAACGTTGCACACAAAACGCGCGGGTCCTACAAAGGCGACCGTTCAAGCGACCATGTGGACGTATTTTCTACTGAAAGAGGAAGGAAAAGAACGTATAAAGGTTTCCAGTACTTTTGTCAAGGACATGACCGGGAAACTTGTGGAACACACCTTTTCCTGCTTGACTGATATTTGGTTCCGCACTCCACATTGGACAATTACCAATTATTCTTTATTCAACACGAGGCTAATAGAAGCGGAATATTCGCGACGAGCTGAGGTTAATGTTCCTAAAAAGAAAAGAAACCAAAAAGCTCAATACGATTGACGGATCAAATCATGCGTGGAAATCGGTAAACAATAGGTTTGATATTTACATAATTTTCAAATATTGCAAATCAAATCGGAAACAATACCCTAATGGGTTATATGGAATCGCTAGGAGTTTAAATTGCACTTCCAAGACTAAGAGGAAAAGTAGAGCTTTGTTTTCATCTGTCGACTCGCCAAGTTAGGGAAAAAGGTTTTTTGTGCAGCTAATTTGTGTTGTTCTTCGTAAGTGCAGACAATGGTGGCCCGGTTGCTGGAGGTAAGGAGCCGTTTCTCTGTAGTTTTCCTCTGTCCTGTTTAATAGAAATCTCGAGCTTTCGTTAAGATTTGCTTTAATTTTTTTTTCTCATAAGTCAGTTGAATTTGATTTCGAGGGAAAATTTGTCTTTATAGGAAATGTTGAGTTTACACACCTCTTCTACTTGATGAAACTGCAATTGTCAACATTCCATCGAGCAAAAAATACTACTAAAGTTAATCGGAAAACGCTCTTTTGAAACTTTGAAGTCTTTTCATACCTTCAAAAAAAACGAACCCTAGGATTTTACCGAATTCTGAAAGGTTCTTGCTTTAAAAAAATTGGCAAAACAACGAGCTCACGAATTATTTACTCCCGAGGCTAAAACACTAAAAAGATCACTGAGTGTGATACCGATTTTTGCTTGTAAAAGCTTTATTTGTGTAGAGTTATTTGTGTTTTTCATGTTGCAAACGGTGTTGAAATAAATACAGCAGTATGATAATCTCATCGATCTGGAGTTTCTTTACTTTACGTGGTTTTACCAAGCCTCATATTTTTCCTCATAAAACTGTAATAATTAACCTCTATCCTGCACCACAATGTGTAGGTAAGATTTCCATACAACCCCAAACATTTCTTATGTGTGTGAAATAATATAAGCTTGCTGCATGCATCGTAAATGTATGGGTTTGGATGCATAGGACCTTTTGATGTTGTGTTTGCCACTTATCGATCCAGCAAGTTTTGTCTACTTCAGTAAGAACTCATGGTTTTAGGTGTCAGCTGCTGAATGTAGTCTTTTCCTTTTTTCTCTATAGAAAGCACTCAAAAGTGTTAAGAATATAAACTACTGCTACTATAATTATGCCTTATTTCTTGTACCTCCCCTCCTCAGTGAAAGCCTAACTGACTCATTTTCTACATTGTGTGGTGAAACCTGTATTATGCAGACCCCATATTAAGCAGACGCCCTATATTCAGCAGTCGAATAGCTCAAAATGTGGCAAAACGGTTAGAAAAACAAACCTGTATCTAGCCCTTACCAAACCATGTGTATTTTGAAACTGATTTTAAAGTATTTAAAATGTATTTTCAGTATTTGAACACTATTTTCCTGTATTTTAATCCTGTTTGACAAAAAAATTTAAATTTGCGCCCCTGTTTGAAATATATCTTAAGTGTAGTTAAATTATATTTCATCAAAAGGAAAACCTCTCTCATCAATTTACAATCTATTTTGTTTAAGAAATATGATTAAAATAGGGTATTTAAAATGTATTTTGGGCATGGAACCAATAACACTGTTACAAACAGAGTGCAAATAGACTATTTGAAATATGTTTTAAGGGCTTTAATGCGACTGTATTTTAAATACTTTTAAATAGGGTACTTTAACACTGTTTTGAGTTGTATCTAAAACACATTTTGAGACGCATCCACTCACAAAGTTACAAACATAGTTCAAATAGACTATTTGAAATATGTTTTAAGAGCCTAAATGTTGACCGTATTTTAAAAACTTTTAAATAGGGTACTTTAACACTGTTTTGAGTTCTATCTAAAATGTATGTTGAGACGCATTCAATCACAAATTAAGTTACAAACAGTTCAAATAGACTTTTTGAAATATGTTTTAAGACCTTAACTGCTGACCGCATTTTAAATTCTTTTAAATAGGGTACTTAAACGCCGTTTTGAGGTCTATTTGAATTGTATTTTGGGCACACAACACTCTGACTATGACAAAAAATTATACATAAACTATTTAAAGTCAGCTTAAAGACATCAAATGCTGACCTTATTTTAAATACTTTAAAATAGGGTACTTGTCAGTTATTAATATTGAGGTGCAAATGTTGTAATGTATTTTGGGATACTTATACTCAGACTATAAAAGCAAAAATTGCACAAAGTTAATTTTTAAGCCTTCATCGTGTCACGAGCTCATAAATGACTCAAAACAAGCTGTCATATATTGTGCACCGCATTCTTCTCTCAACAAAGTTCGAAGCTGAGCGAACACTTAAATCTCCAAGCAAACCAAGAAGAAATTGAAAAAAGAGAAGAAAATTAGGAATAGATTTGATTTGACTGACAGCATGTAACTGTGACAGAGTGCCGATAAAAGATCAATCCGTTCCTCAATGTTCATTACCTATACAAGCTCTCTGCGAAAATCTCCGCGTAGATTTTATCCGTGATTCAATTACTGCAGTTACGCGACATTCCATAAGTTTTTTTAAAAGAAACGTCTTAAAATCGCATTTTAATTTCATATAGAAATTTTTCACAAACAGCCGAAACCGCGGGCCGAGAACCGGATGCACGCGGTCAACAGAGGTTTGTCTAAAATAAGCCCTTGAAATTACATAATAAACAAACTATCCAAGCTAAGAAACAACGCTCAGATCTGAATAAACTCCAACGTATGGTTATCTTTCTTTCATAGGCTATTCCGCACATGCATGGCATATTATTTCTGAGATGTCACGCGCGACTGAAATCACGACTTCGCGCCGCGGTGATGTGACAAATGCACGTGATAAACAAACCGTCTTTTGCCCTTTGCTCATTTCAAATTGTTGAACCGGCGGTTGCTGTGAGCTTAAATGCGCTTGATTTTACTGCTTGTTACGATCTTAAAAAAGTACACTTCAACTCTGCGGATTGTCTGAACACGTAGATGTTGCTTTTATCACGAATCAAAAATGGGTATGACTCCTCAGCGACTGCCATGTACTTTGAAAGGTTCTGGTTCAGGCGACGCACGCGGTCTTCCAAGAGTCTTGTAAGTATTATATGGAATGTTCCCTCTATATGCATAACATGTTACTAAGACGCTTAAATATACCCCATATGAGAAACAAATGAAGGCTAGTAAACATTTATATACTCCCGCCTGTACGGCAATTTTAGTTTTTAAAGGATTCCTTGCTCAGCCTCGCTGTTCAGTCACTTGATGTCACGTCACCGGCCTCTTTCATTCTCGCGTAAATTTGATCGTGTTATTCTTATGTTGTTCTTTATAAGCCAATAATTAATATTCAGGCATAGCCTGCAAGCTTCTGATGATATTTGAGTAAAGCCGTGAATATAATAAACAATGTAAGTTACATGTATGCAGATTATTATTTACCGGTAACGTCTGTAACGCTATACCCTTTTGAAGCCGAAGATTGGTAGCCTGTGTACAGACCCCCCCCTTTCGACCGATTTTTGTACTGTTTTCAGAAACCTCTAAGGCTATTTTCTTACAATTTTATTAATACTGTTTTTGCATTTTTGCATCCTATTTTTGATCTATTTTCATAATATATGCGTGCTATTGCTTTTCTTCTTCTGTGGTATTTTAATACTATTTTCAAAGTATTTTTATTGTATATGCCTTAAAAGCAAAAGATAACACAACCTTGCTCTGCCTGCATACTCGGCTTTAAGAGCATTAGAATGCAACAAAAATTAAAAGCAAAGCAAAAGCAGCACGTATATGAAGAAGATATTAGCTTGTTAGCTACTCTAAAATTCGAGTATAAATAAAGTTTTACGTTATGTTATGTTATGAATCCTTATAACAAATTCTTATGAGTGTGAAATATAAAACAGATATCCCATGTCAGTACCATAAAATTAATGTAAAGTTTCCTTCAGTTGGCTATTGTTTGCAGCTCTTATGATTGGTTGAAACCACACAAAGAAAATACCCCTTAAAATGGATATAGATACATTTATATTTGAAAACATTGTTTTTCTGAAAATATTGTTAGAAAAGTTTCAAACATACTAGGCTATTTGTCTGCTTAACATAGGATGTAACTTTTAATATAGGGTTCGCGTAAATATAGAGGTTTCACCGTACACTATAGAAAATGAGTAATTAGGTTTGTATTTTTTTCTGTGTGGGAGGGGGGTATAAAATAAGACACAACTCAGCAAGAAGCTATACACAGCTTGAACTTATTGCAGTAGCTTTTATTCTTAATACTTTTGAGTGCTTTCTATAACGAAAACGAGAAAAGGCTGTATTCAGCAGCCGACACCTAAAACCATAAGTGCTTACTAAAATAGAGAAAACTTGCTGGATCAATAAGTGGCAAACATAACATCAAAAGGTCCTATGCATCCATGAATGCCTGAAGCTTGAATTATGCTGTCGTACGATTTGCATTCAAACACCTGATACATAAATATATATATACATGCAGCAAGCTTGTATTATTTAACACACATAACAAATGTTTGGGGTTGTATGTAAATCTTACCTACACATTGTGGTGCAGGATCTGTAAATGTTAATTATTACGGGTGTATGAGGAAAATATGAGGCTTGGTAAAACCACATAAAGTAAATAAACTCCAGATGAGATTATCTTACTGTCGTATTTATTTCAACATCGTTTGCAACATGAAAAAACACAAATAACCTTACATAAATAAAGCTTTTACAAGCAAAAATCATACAAACTCAGTGGTCTTTGTAGCGTTTTAGCCTCTCGAGTAAATAATGCATTAGCTCGGTGTTTTGCCAATCTTTTTTTGAGTAAGAACCTTTCAAAATTCTGCAGAATCCTAGGGTCCAGTTTTTTTAAGGTAAGAAAAGTATTCAAAAGAGCGTTTTCCCATTAACTTTACTGAGCAGTATTTTTCGCTCGATAGAATGTTGACAATTACAGTTTAATTGAATAGAAGAGATGGTTTTGTAAACTCAACGTTTCCTTCGAAGGCGAATTTTCCCCAGAAATCAAATTCAACTTACGACAAAAAAAAAAAAGCAAATCGTTACGAAATTTCGAGATTTCAATGCCAAGAAAACTACAGAGAAACGGCGCCTTACCTCGTGCAACCGGGCCACCAATGTCTGCACTTATTAAAAAACAACACAAGCTGCACAAGAAACCTTTTTCCCGACTTGGCGAGTCAACAGATGAATACAAAGCTCTTCCTTTCTTCACAGGGTGGGAAGCAGAATTTAAAGTTCTGGCGACTCCATATAACCCATTAGGCCATTGTTTGCGAAAGGACTTTTTAACTGCGATTTGATTTGCAATGTTTGAAAATTCTGTGAAGATCAAACTTTTGCACATACAGATTTTCGCACATGAATTGGTCCGTCAAACGCGTCCATCAAATTGAACTTAAATGGTCTCCTTACTGATTTTTAAGCTTGGTGAGTAGTGGCTTTAGGAATATTAATCGATATTAACCTTGCCGCGGATGTTCCGCTTCTATTCACCTCGTGTTCAAGAATATTAAAGTGCTTAAGAGTGATTTTCTGTAAAATTCGAACTTCGGCCTGACACGTAGCCTGCGTTGCAGCCGGCCCACGCACTCGTCTAAACCCTTTGTATAGTCCGTCTGCGAATTAGTGCACAAAAGCTCGTTCTAATATCCTGCAGAGTCGCAAGGACATATGTGAGCGTTTCTGATAGGCGGGTTTCTTACGGGTTTCTTACGAGCCGCACGATTGGCCTAATTTTTACGTGTGCGTGACGGTTGGGCGCAGTGACATGTCAAAATTCACAGAAGGGAGTTGGCAAGGATCGTTTACAGTGAACAATGAAAGAGTAGTTCGAACTTTAGAGCCGTCTTCTGAGCAAAAAAACGCTTTGAGATAATTCCTTCAAGGCCAGAATTTGCTAGTAAATTTGCCGGCTGGTTTCCCAGCGTCTTCCAATCGCTGCAGATGTACTACTGCGTATTCTGTAATTTAGCCGACAGTTCAAGAGTCAAAACAAATGAAGAAATCATCACGTTATTCACGATAAAAAAAAAAACTACACACATGTAGCTGTTCAGGTCCAAGCGTTTCATTGAAAACCAAAGAAACTAAGGTTATTTAGCCGCAATAAAGAAGCTTAAGGCTTAATCAGAGGTAAAAGAAAGAGCTCAATCTCTCTGGTCACGAGCTATGAGTCATGTTTGGCCTGTCAACGCTTAATTCAAATCGGACTAATCACAAACTGCGAAAGAAAATAGCCAATCAATAACGCCGACATATTTCTTTGCGACTCTACGGGATTCGAACTCGATATTGTGCACTAATTCGCAGACGCTATATACAGAAGGTTTAGAGCGTCTGCGACGCAGGCTACCTGACACGGTACCTCATCGATTTGGCTGATTTTTGGCATGTAGTCTTAGAGTGGTGTCCTAAATACTGAATGCATATTCTAAGGTTCGAATTCTCGTTGGTTTCAAAGATACAGGAATGACAGTTTTGACGAGGCCTCGAGCGGCGGCCATGTTGGTGAACTGAAGGAGATTTACAGTAATTAATTCTAGCCTTATCATTAAAATAACTTAATCGTGACTCATACAGTTGCAAAGAACTATCCTTCCTCCTTTCATTTACCTACTCTTATCTGAAAATGGTTAAGCCTGAGCTACGAACGGCTATAACTTCTCACAGCACTTTTTCGGTACTTAAACGGTACACAAATTTGGTAGAAATTGGAAGGCCAATATCACCCATGCCACATCGATTTAGACTAAGCCATTTTAACTAAACATAGTTTGTTTATAGCTAAGTTAGATTGTTGAATAAAATAATTGGGCAAATGCAACGGAACAGAAATATGATTGCATGAATGCGCAGTGGTTCAGCCACTTGGCCGCTAAAACTTCAAAACAAAATTCGGTGAATATTTGAAAAGAAAATTCTTTAAAAATTGATCGTGCCTCTTAAACCCTATCTATCGCTTAAAAAACCCTCCCTTGAAATGTAAACAGATGATCTTTTGATTCTGATCTTGCGAAGAGCTTGAAATAGGCGCTAAAATGAAAATTATAAATTTTGTTACACACGGTACTAGCTCAAGTTCGCTCTTCGATTTCCCAGACCAATCGGGAGCCGCTCGTGTACTGCACAGATACTATTTTCTCTGTAGTATTTCGCTGTATACAGCTACAAATTACATATTTTCTTAGGCAAAGGTAACGCAAACGTTGTCAATTTTAATCAAAAGGCTAGAAAAACCAACCGTGCACTGTAGCTTTATGCAAATTGTATGGTATTCGATAATTACACGTGTAAACAGGAACCTACCTTTGCTAATGTACACTGTTTGACAGATCTTTCCAGCATAAGATATAAAACTAGTACATGAAATGAAATTAAAGAACTCATCAAGTCAAATTACCTGATCGTACCGTCATTACTGAATAATAAGTCCGCAAAATATGACATGGAATGATCGGTGGGAGACGAAGCTATTTTTAGGAGGACAACGAACTGCACGCTGGAACGGAACTGAAATGAACAACCTCAATCAAGTTCAGTCTTCTTGACGCTATTAAACCTTTCCCCCGAATTTGAACAGGAAGTTGTTTTCTATTTTCTTTCTCATTCTTGCATGTATTCTGCAGTTCGCCCACTATTTTTTCGTAACTTTTAATTTTCTAGCTAACTGGAACTGTTTAGAACTACCAACCCCCCTCCCCCCTCCCCCTCTTTGAGTGAACTTTCATTCGGTCTGATTCACAATAATTTTCGAACGGTGACAAAGTGATATTTGAAATGACATTTTATTTAGTATTTTTAAAAGCTCCTTCTTTTTTCCCCGATAGCCAGGAATGTTTTGAACGTAAAGGCTCAAGTGGCGGTGTTTTTCACTACTCTGCTTGTAGACTGACCTCACCACCAGTACCACGGACATAAAATCTGATCGGAGAGGGTCATACAGTAACTGATGGGTCTCTGAAAAGCGAAATGCAGTCACGTGGGGCGAGTAGGCTATATAGATGATGAACTCATTGTTTATAACCCCATAACCGTATCCCAAAAGTCGAGCCAGCCCGGGGCGAGCGAACACAATTTTGGGGCCACTGGTCACGCCCTTATGTTTAGCCGGAAATTGGTTGATTAGTCAAATCTCCTTAACTCCACGACCATGCACCTTTCCAAATATAGCCCTTCTTATCATCATATAGTTAGGGCCTCCCGTAAGCATTTGCAACTATTTTGATTTGTAGAAGACTGTTTAACAGTTTTCATTACTTTAATGTCTCGTAAACAACACGAGGTACATGTTCTGATCTCCCCCCACCCTTCCCCCATCCATAACAAAAAATGTTCAGACCAACACTGAATTGCATGAAGGTATGTACAAAAATATGACCATCTCGAGGCAAGGTTCATCACTGTAACTTACCACATAAAAGCCTTTTCGTTGTTTGCCATCGACTGATTCTGTTCTGAATACTAAGGTCCCATAAACAACGCCACGTTTAGAAAGGGCCCGCCCTTTTCAATCCAAGAAAACCCAAGTAGCGATTTCACCAACGGACATAAGCCGTAAGAAAAGGACCGCGTCAAATAGTTCATGAAATCACAAACGCCTCATGACACCTTTAATTCACTCTTTCTTCGATAAACTAATTTTTAATTTTTTAAGCATAAATGACATCAGAATGCGCGATTATGAGCATTGGAGCTTATGAAAAGAAAATTTAACACCTGATGCACATGAAAGCGTCTAAGAAGGGGACTAGGGGGAATTAGGAACATTGTGCTTACCCCTGCAAAAATATTGGCTAGTTCTTTGAATAGACTCAATTAAAGCCGTTTTTGTTCAGTAAGGAGCTGTTAGATGGGGGGAAAGCTACATAAAGTAGATCGCATCAGAATACGGCATAGTACTAGGCTCTCAAAATCAATAAGCTGAATGCAAGACCAATTATTATGTAAAACAGAGAAAAATTCCTTGAGGGAAAAAAATTATGGCTAGGGAAAAGACCCGAAGGTGGAAAGTTAGGATGGTAGCTTCTTTTCAGGTAATCGATCATTTACGTTAACTTCCGCTATCCGACGGGCATATCGGAAAGACTGAATGGATGAGAGTATAACACATTCAAGAAGAAACAAATTTGTGATTTTTCACAACTCAATAAAATAACTAAAATTGTGTACTACTCGGTTATACGAGATTTTTGTTTTCAATTTCAGATTTTTACGATGGGTCATTAGCCCCCGTACTCACTAGACACTACTTTACAATCATCGTGTTAAAATCAGTGAAATACTCCAAAACAATTTGGATTCCTACCCTTATACCTTTATTAAAAATTAAAGTTGGGAAGTTTGTTGTCTTCTAAAAGTAGTTTGAACAGCCGAACGACATTTTTTTACACGGAGTGGGGAAGGCAAAGCTTCACTTATCTCTTCTAAGGTAGAAAGTGTCAGCAAAACGTGAGAGTCGTCCTTGAGGGTAAAGTGTCTAACCTAATTTTCTCACCGATTGCAAGTGCCATTTCATCCACGCACAACCTCACCTAGTTAACAGAATTAGCAAATGTAGTGTGGGAACGTTGCGAGAGAACTGAGTAAGATGTTAGGGTAAGTTTTGGAACTTTTCCGCACACCTGGAATGTCCTGGCTACGCTCCTGATAGAGACTTTTGCTGGAGAGAAATTGAAACATGTTCGCTAATATAGTGACGACCAGAAAGGACAAGCCATAGGATAGTTCCAGAAAACCACCCATTAAAATACATCACAAAGTTGTCGCGGCGGAGGATGAACTTGAAGGCATCTGATGAATTGCAATTTTTCAAGGGGAGCCCAGACAAGATTATGTACGATGGGCACAGCTTGTTTGATCTGGAAAATTTAGAGAAGCTCAAGGCAAATCGCTAGACAACACATGCTAGAGCTGAACTAAAAACTTTTGCGCCTTTGAACTCTGTCTCTAAGGGTAAAGGAGAAAGTTTCCCTTTATCAATGCATTAACCGAGTTGATTATGAATGTCTCCTTATGTTGGACGTCTTACTAACAAGCACATTACCACTACTTGCCCTCAGAGGCGTTTTTCATTTGACGAGCAGAGAAAATTACTAGGTTTTGCCTGTTTGAAATTCTGGATACCAGAGTGAAGACGCCTTTTGTATGATGACGTCATCGTCCTACAGTAAAAAAGCGTTCGTTTTTACCACTGATATTACGTCAATCGGTACACTTATGTTGTCGAAAGGTCCGTGAGCATGGTAAATGATTTTACCTTAAACTGCGGACACATCTTCAATCACTCCTTATTGTTCGCGATATCGGATAAACACTCTGGTCTCTAACTGAATTTTCTTTGCTGTTTACTTTATTTTGAATTAGGACTGTCAGGAGTTGTCCATGCATTGTCTAGCGATTTTAAGCTTTTTCAAGGAAACAAAAATCTGGAATTGTCCCTAGGGTGAGGCATTTGCGCACAGTTTTAAAGCCCTTCGGTGGGGTGACTGTGGTTTTTGCTGTCCCGGGCTCATCCCTCATTCTTCTTAACCTCTTCCAAACCAATTTTTCTGTTTATCAAGAATCTCCTCAAAACGGGCTTCGTGATTGAGACAAAATACCTGAAAATTGTACACGGAACCGTTGTTAACGGTGTACAAGGTAGAATGAGTCTATTCAGTACTGTGCCAACTCCCAATTTTTAAAACCGGAAGTAATGATGTTTATTTCAAGGGCTATTTTATGTTTATTTCATGAGTTTTGAGTAAATCTTCAAACGCTGTAAACACATGTAGCTGGAACTATCATCGCATCGATCCTCGCTCACTAATAATGATAACTTATATCAACTTCCATTATTTATTGCCTGGCTAAGATTTTCACGGATTCTTCAGTTCAGTTGTTTGAAACCAGACGGTTTCACGTGAGTTGTAACGCCAGGCAAGGAACGTGACGACCCGCGATATGCGTGGGAAAAAATATTTTTTTTTTCGATCAAGGTGGAAACTGGCAACTTTGTCGTGGAGTAAGGTAATACATCTCAATTTTCATTACTATGGTTAATTTTAAAAGCTCTGGTTTCGGTAAAGGAACTGGAGGAAAATCAGGAAAATTCCAGTTCGACTGTGATGGTTGAATTTTGTTTACGGGTCATAGCATAAACATAACAAATTCATTTTCCTTTTCCTTATACAATCTGCCTTTTTTTATACTGTTTTTCGCAGCAGAGTTATCGATTATATTACAGAGGCTAATTTTATTACACAGATCACTCAGATTTAATGACAGAAACTCTATTATCGATTGTAATTTTGGCAACACCTGGCGAGTATTCGGTGTACAGATTATTGACAAAGTCGCTAGAACAGTCTTCCATTCATTACTTTTGTTTCCGCTCCGTTAAATTTGCCCAATTTTTTTATTAATGAACTCGATTTAACTACAAACAGTGAGTATTCAGGCAGATTGGCAAGCTTCAATGCGATGTGGCAAAAGAGATATACGCCTTTAAAATTCTGTTAATTTTGCGGGTGTAAAAAATTCAAAAAGTATACCCACCAAAAGTTTAATCGATCGTTGCGAAAACGTTATCAATTTCGAAGTAGTTTCTAAAAATACAATAAAGAGGGATTGTTCTTTCAATCTGTATTGGCAAAGGAAGATTAGCTTTGAAGACAGGGTTGTAGTCGAAGGCGCAAATGCAGCTTCTATTAACCATGCAATATGGCGCCGGTCCGAGGCACCCAAAAACCGGCCATGTCGATAATTTCCGAAGTAGGAGGAATTAGAACCTAAAGTTACCCATTCCTTATTAAAGACCTCAAATCAAGTCTACATGCCAATTTTTAGCCAATTCGGTGAGATAGTGTGGCAGCGCCTTTTTAATATAGCTCGCATCTTACAGACAACTGCTCTTAATTGTTAGTTGTCCAATGTGAAGCACGGCACAAAATATCAGTCAAAGCGGCAAAAGGTGTTTTCCACATGATTCCTAGTCATGTCCTTGAGAAAAACACTCGAAACCCTTATACGTTTTTTTCATTCCCCTTTCAACACAAAATACGTCCACGCGGTCGTTTGTACGGTCGTCTTTGTAGGACCCGCGGATTTTGTGTTCAACGCTTATCCAGGCCGCAATGCTACTTGTCCTCTTTCCAGCTGTTCCAACTAAAACGATAGTCCACGCGGTCGCTTAACTGTATTTCTACCGTTTCTTGTCAAAGATCCGTTTGCGTACAAGTTTTAACCAGTTTCTATGGTAGGTTCTTCGTTGACGAACGACAATTTTTCAAGTACACACCCTCCATATCGTCCCTCCACTTAGGGCAGCCATTTTTTTCATTTATTGACGCCGCCTCGCTTTGGCGCGCTGAATCTTCCGGAAGTCAACCAGTTTACCGGAAACTGTTTCCGCATGGTCCGCATAGTTCTAAAAATAACTCTTTTGAAATTAAGATATCCCAAAGGCGTGTCTGGGAGACTCCCTCTCTGTCCTATTATGGCTCTTGTCAAAGCCCATTGGTGGAATGCGGCGTAAC